TAAGGACAATTGTCATTGGACGTAGGGCCTACCCTAATTCAGGATGATCTCATCTCAAGATCCTTAACTTGGTTACATCTGCAAAACGCTTTTTCCAAATAAGGCCACATTTGCAGGCTTTGGGCATTAGGACTCAGGCATACTTTTTGGGGGATCACAATTCAACCCACTTCATCCACCAACTGAGAAAACGAATGAGTACCCGGCGATTTCTGGTTGATGGGAGAACCAAGTGTAGCGCAAACGCCGGGTCAGAGAGTAAAGCTCTGGCTTTTCAACCAGCCTTCTGTGGGAGCTGTTTGTATTCACCGCCAGTTTCTCTAAGTTGGTCATTCAGGGATGTGTCCATAATACAGCATGTCAGGTAGGTGACTCACGGTGAATAAACTGGAGAGAAGTTGAGTCATAGTTAAAAGCGGATTTAACATTCCAAAGGTGAACAGCAATCCAGCCTCCAGGTTGAAGCCATTCTTGTGCCTCTTCCCACCAAGGCAGAGACAGATAAATAAATACCATCCCTGAGCCAGGCGGCACAGCGCGACCTCCAGGCCTGCACCCCCTCTCAGGCATCCTGCCTGGCCAGTCTACCTCCTTTCAGAAGCGATGTACGTTTCCAGCATGGAGCAGGAGGCAGGTCAACAAATGCTGCTCTAAACATCTTGGTCAAGCTTGCTGTGACCTCCCATCCTGCCACACACATCTTAAGTCACAGGCAGCCTCCTCTCCACACTGCCACCCTGCACTGAGGGCCATCCCCTCTGGAAACTACAGGGGGTCCACTGCTAAAATGTGGGAGGTTTGTCTGTGTGCCCCACAATCCAGGCAGAAAGGCCCAAGGCAGAGAGGACCTTCGAGGGGTACATGGCACCCTTCGAAGTCCTCAGAACACGTCTGCCTTTCCAAGCTGACCACAGGCACCAACACTTAGTCTTAGGAACCCGACTTCTCCCTACCTACGAACGTTTTCCGCAGAGGTTCGTCTCCTAGAGACCCTGCCCCATCCCAGGCCCTGCCTGGCTGACCATCCTCCCCTCCAGTATGAAGAGTCTGTCTGTCCTGAGCCAAGACAGGCAGGGACCAGACCCTGGAGGAAGGCAAGTGACAGTGCATGGGGACAAGCCGAAAAGTGTCTGAGGAGCCCAAAGGCCAGGCTCTCCTGGGACTGAGAGCAGCAGCTCCAGCTCCAGGGACACACAGGGACGCACATGGCAGGAACTGGGGCTGTCATGAGCAAGGCCAAGTGCTCTCCCTGGGTGCTGAGTTTCTTTGATGACCAGACCTGAGAAGGGCCCTTTTCCACAGGGGCCTTGGGACTCCTGACTTTGCTGCCTCAGCGTGAAAGTGTCCTGTCTCTCCAGCCGAGCCCCTCTCAGGGAGGCAGGTCCCCATCCCCTGGGCCTTCCTGCTGGGGTGTGCTGCTCTCCCCACATTGTGTGGGCACCAGTACTATCCACTTAGCACCTCAACCCCCCGGGGCCTCTTCACTAGTGTCCCAGGGGCTCCCCTAAAAGCTACTTGCTCCTGAGCTCCAATTGTAATCAAGTCCCGAGGCAGCTGGGTTTAAAGACACAATTATGCATTATGGATAAAGGGCAGGTCACCCTCCCCCGCCAGCCAGCTGGGCATCTGTGCTTGCCCCACGGCTCCCATCAGAGGCTCCAGCCGACCTGTCCCCTCCCCTGGGCACACAGAGCAAGCCAAGGCGCCCCTTGGTGCCTGCAGCCCCAGGAGCCGAGCACGGGGCTCCTAGCTGCAGCCGCGGAAAGGTCCTCTTGCTGGGATCCCACTACAAATTGATGAACGCTAATGACCTGCCTCCTCCATCTGGTACCACAATCACGAAGATGCTCCCAAATGCTGGGAGTTGGGGGGTATTCTTTTTTCTTTTCCTTTTTGCCTTTTTTTTCAAATATTTATGAAGAGATTTTCCATTTATCCTGACACGTCTTCTCCACCGTGGGTGTCAGCTGGGAGGGCTCAGACAACAAACTCCAGAAGGTATTTTCCCCAAAGCAGCATCTGGCTCCGTTGGCAAGTACAGCGGGTGGTTTGCTGGGAATTGGCCGAGGAAGAGGGAGGAGGAGCCACAGGCTGGCAGCCTCCGGTCCTGGCTCTGCGATGCTCCCAGGGATGGGGCTGGAGCATCCTAAGAGAGCAGCCAGGATACAGGACCTCACAGGCACCCCCACCAGCCTCTCTCTCACTCTCACCCTTCAAGTCTTCTGGTCTGATACCAAAGCTCCCCAGCTCCCCAGGTAAACCACCTGGGCGGAGACCAGTTCTCCTCGAAGCCTCTAAGAGTCTTCTTCAGTGACAATTCCCAGTGGGGCAAGTTGGTAAAGGAGAGGGTGCTGGCTTGGCCCCTGCATCTCAAGCTCTCCCCTCCTAGGAATCCTTCTAAAGGCAGAGCCAGGGGCCTCCCTCGTTCTCCCTGCTGGGCATTTCCCACCTTTGGGGACAGTGTGACCCATACCGGGGCAGAGGGAGTTGGCTGAGCAGCAGAGCCGGAGGTAGCAATAAGAATCTTGTGGAATCTCCCAGGTCACACCAGCTTAACTGCTGTCTTCTGTACTCACCTGTGGTATAGCCCCCCAAGTGAATCCAGGAACCCCCAGCCCAGCAGTCCTTGATAGTTACCACAGTGTCTGAGCCAGGCTGTATCTGCCAAAGATGAATTCTGGTGAAAATCAAACAATTTCCAGGAGATCTTGGGTCCAAAGGCATCATGACTTCGTGCCCTTGATCTTGCCTGGGCTGCCCATTAGCAATCACTGGGGAGCTTCAGAAAATATCAAAGCCCAGCCCCACTCCAGCACTGTCAGAATACCTGAGAGTGGGGCATATATTTCTAAGATCTCCCACGTCGTGGTCAAGGGCATCCGGGGTTGAAAACTATTGAGCTATGGGAAGACTATGTCCCCTGGACACAGGCAGTCCTAGACTGGAGTCCTTGCTCTTTTACTTACTTGCTGTGACCTGGAATCAATTACTTGCCCTCCCAAAGCCTCAGTTGCACCATCTCTAAAATGGGGGATAAAAACATTTTTCTTGTCCTAAGGTGCCCAGCACATGTAACTGTTCAACAAAGTCAAGCTGCTATTAATCATCTTCCATCACGAACCCATCTTCCGGGACAAGAGACTGCTGGTGTTGAGTATGCAGCGCACTCCAGCAAGGCAGCCGGCCAGGCAGCTGCTTCCATCCACGCACAGAACCGGTACTTTGGAACTGTTACCTCCCTTACCTGCAGAACAGCCTCAAGGTCTCACCTCTGGGTACCAAGGCTGCAAGAGAGCAATTCAGTCCTTACCTCTGGGTACCAAGGCTGCAAGAGGGTAATTGAGTCATGGGCCTTACCACTCCCCAGGTGATGACACTCCCAACAGATACAGCACCAGTCAAAGAATACCTCTCTAGAGGAGGCCGGGCACGGTGGCTCACACCTGTAATCCCAGCACTTTGGGAGGCTGAGGCGGGCAGATCACCTGAGGTCGGGAGTTCAAGACTGGCCTGTCCAACATGGTGAAACCCTGTCTCTACTAAAAATTCAAAAATTAACTGGGCATGGTGGTGCATGCCTGGAATCCCAGCTACTTGGGAGGCAGAGGCAGGAGAATCGCTTGAACCTGGGAGGCGGAGGTTGAAGTGAGCAGAGATTGCGCAATTGCCTGGGTGACAGAATGAGACTCCGTCTCAAAAAAAAAAAAAAAAAAAAAATATCTCCTTGAATTTTTAAAGGATCTAGAGCATTTAAAATATCTCCTCTAGGGCTAGGCACGGTAGCTCAAGCCTGTGATCCAGCACTTTGGGAGGCCGAGGCGGGTGGATCACCTGAGGTCAGGAGATCAAGACCATCCTGGCTAACATGGTGAAACCCCGTCTGTACTAAAAATACAAAAAATTAGCCGGGCGTGGTGATGGGCGCCTGTAGTCCCAGCTACTCGGGAGGCTGAGGCAGGAGAATGGCGTGAACCCGGGAGGCAGAGCTTGCAGTGAGCCGAGATGGTGCCACTGCACTCCAGCCTGGGCCACAGTGAGACTGTCTCAAAAAAAAAAAAAAAGAAAGAAAGAAATCTCCCCTAGGAAGTCAATGTGTCTACCATCCTGTTTATCTGGAAATGGTCTGTTATCAGATTCAGCCGAGAACAGAGCCAGATACGAGTGTTTGAAAACTTATTCTGCTTGGCACCGCCCTGGGTGGGCTAGGGTGGCATGGGGAAGCCCTGAGGCCCACCGCAGTCATGCAGGGAGCAAGTGCTTCTGGGCAGACACTCCAGTGATCCTGCAGACCACTTGAAGAGGCCCCCAGGACCCCAGGAGCATTGCTCATTCATTAGTAAATATGATTTCTTATTTTGTATTATGTGCATCTCCTGGTGACATCTGCTGATGCCAGACTATCTTGCCTGGGTCAGCCGGGCACCAATGTCTTCTTCAAATCTCATAGCAGCTCTACCAAAGCAGGTGCCACTCTGCCAGTGGATTGCTGGGATGAGTGGGCCTGGAAGAGTTGAGTTGCTTGCCACAGCCTTTTTCCTATATCACACATTGCCGCCACTTCCTGGACAAGAAAGGAATTTAAAGAGAGTTTTTGCAACTGATAGCAATGATTTCTTTTCTTTTCTTTTTTTTTTTTTTTTTTTTTTTTGAGATGGAGTTTCACTCTTGTTGCCCATGCTGGAGTGCAATGGCACAATCTCAGCTCACTGCAACCTCCACCTCCCAGGTTCAAGTGACTCTCATGCCTCAGCCACCCAACTAGCTGAGATTACAGGCGCCTGCCACCACACTAGGCTATTTTTTTTTTTTTTGTATTTTTAGTAGAGACAGGGTTTCACCGTGTTGGCCAGGCTGGTCTCAAACTCCTGACCTCAGGTGATCCACCCGCCTCGGCCTCCCAAAGTGTTGGGATTACAGGCGTGAGCCACAGCGCCCAGCCAGCAATGATTTCAATAATGTCTTCATCCCCAAGAAGACCCACATAGGTTCCCAGGGGACAATATGAACCAATAGGGAGGGCTCTGCTAAACGGCGGGTGTGGAACAATAACAATATTTCTGGAATAGATAAATTAATAGGTCTGTATTACAAAGGGTGCTTGAGTCCAGTGACATCAGTGATTGTTGGCAGTTAAGGATAAGCAGTTGAGGATAAGCAGTGGTTGTTGGCAGTTGAGGACAACTTAGTTGTCAGGGAGTATTAACGAGCAAGATAATAAAAGTTACTGTTCATTTAGTAAGTATTTAAATCAAAATTATAAGCACAGGTTCTGTATACAGACTGCAGAGGCTTAAAATCGGGCAATGCTTGGCAAGCAATTTACCTTGTCCATGCCTTTTTTACCTCTTTGGTAAAATGAGGTCGATAACAGTATCTATCTCTAAGAATTTTGGAAAAAATCAAATAAGTTAATGTATGGCCAAGCACATCAAATAGAGTGCGGTACACACAAAGAGCTCAGTAAGCATCAGCTATTAGCATTTTGTGTTAATGTTTTCCCTGGGCTTATTGAATCTGCACGATAACCAACCCGATGAGGCCCATGTTTGGTTTTCCATCTTACTGGGGCCCAGAGAGGTTCAGCCACTAGTCCTAGGCCACACAGCTGCAAATGACAAAGCAGAAGTGGAAACCCAGGTCAGCCTGAATCTGATGACCTTTCCTTTCTGCCTCATCAAAAGACCTTGGAGAGAAAAGCAATAAAGACCCAGCAGTTCTTCTGTGACAAGCAGGAATCACGGACATAGGAGGCAGAGGGCAAGTAGTCAATTGATAGCAACAATCCAGAAAGATGTCTGCAGTATAAAGCAAGCCCTCCCACCCAGTAGCAAGCATAGCTACAGGAGGGCCAAGAGCAACCCACCCCCCAGCCCCCAGCAGTCAGTTGAGAGCCCAGGGAGGCTGGAGATGAAAAGGAAGGTGTGGTTCTGAAGGCGAAGGTACCTGGACCTCCGCGGAACCAAACCTTTCATTCAGCAACCAAGCATTTAGCAGAGTTGCCCATAAAACGCGCCCTCTTCTTCCAGCCCCTGCACCAGGCTGTTATATTTTAGGAATTAAAAGCTCTGCTTTGGTGAAAGCACAAATGACACATGTTTGCTGAAGAATGTGCTGTCACTGACCATCCTCCCCGCCCCCTCCCGCACCTGTTTTCAAACGTTTCAGCCTCTGAGTGCAGACGATCTCCTCCTTGGGGTTCTTCTCAACCCTTTGAGAGTCAGCTCAGTTTCAGAGGCCAGCTGTGGACAAAGGAACCTCTCGGTCTGTTTGTCCTGTAGAGTGTTTTGAAAAGAATGTTCTCAGAATAACCAGCCGACACTAAAGCGTGCTGCGCCGGAAGCTTTGGCCAAGCCAGGCTGTTAATATCAACATGCTCATCAACCGGGCTGGTTCCAGAACAGATTCTACCAAGGGAGACTGCCTGCAGGGCACAGTCCATACTGGGATCTGGTTTGCAAACACACAGGTCTGGATAAGCCCACACGGACTTCACTCACAGTTCACTGTGTTGTTTGCTGTTTAAGGATACTGGATTTTCCTGCCATCACAGTAAATGGAAAATGCCCAGGAGAGGGTAGCAGCCAGAGACCAGAGGCACCTCAGAGGGGCCACTGGGTACCTGGGCCAGGGGCTGGCCCTCCGCCCTCCACTCTGGCTAGCATCAGGGCAGGTGCTGGGGGTAAGAGCCAGGAGGGAGGAAGAGAAGGGTGGGCTCCCAAGGCTGGTGGCTTCTAGAACCTGCCTGCCATAAACCCAGCTCACTCCTACTTGCCCAGGAAATGGGGAGCCTTCTCCAAACCCCAAACTCCAGACCCACCGCCATAGCTTAAAAAGCACAGCTGTCTCCTAACCTCTCCACCCTCATGTGAATTTTATTATTTTTATTATTTTTAGATGGAGTCTCGCTCTGTTGCCCAGGCTGGAGTGCAGTGGTGTGATCTCAGCTCACTGCAACCTCCACCTCCTGGGTTCAAGTGATTCTCCTGCCTCAGCCTCCTGAGTAGCTGGGATTACAGGAGCCCCCCTCCCTGCCACCCAACCATGCCCAGTTAACTTTTTTGTATTTTTAGTAGATACAGGATTTTACCATGTTGGCCAAGCTGGTCTTGAACTCCTGACCTCAAGTGATCCACCCACCTCGGCCTCCCAAAGTGCTGGGATTACAGGTGTGAGCCACCACGCCCGGCCCCTCATGTGACTTTGATCATCATTTGAAATTGATTTCATCTGGATAAATATGTGAGGAGGAGGAAGGGAGGAAGGAGAAGTGGACAAAGTGGCCGCTGTGCTCTTCGGGGACTGGGGTGCAGTGTAGTAGCAGATGGAGCCCAGCTGTGCTCCAGGCAGAGCTGGGTTCAAATCCTGGCTCAGTGACTTGCTCTCTGTTTAGCTGTAAGTTCACCACTTATACAACGGGGATAAAAGTGTCCTCTTTATATGGTTGTTGTGATGGATAACTGAAATGAGGGACTCAATGACTGGCACCCAGAGGACACTCACAAAATGCTATTTCCTTTCTCTCTGCACTTCTAAGTCCTGGCCTGGCATGGAGATGGTGAGTGTGCCACCGTTTTATCACAGCTGAGCTGGAAAAATAAATGCTGTATATCCAGCTTCCATCACCTTGAATGGGGTATCTGTGATAAGCAAATGAAATCGAATAAACTTGAATACATAAAGCCATGGAGCATTTTCTCATCCTCAAAGGAGCCTACTGAAATACTGAAGCAAAAAAAAAAAAAAAAAAGAAAGTCATCCTTGCAGCGTGCATAATCTGATGCAGGGGAGGCTGTCAGGACCTGGATCTCCAGGCATTCTTCTTGAAGGCTGAGCAGGCTGCATGGATTGCAGATAAGCCTCCACACAGAGCCAAGCCCCAGAATCTTCTGAGCCTCATCCCCAAGCCTTGGCTATAGAAACTAGAAACCATGCTTTGTGTCAGTTCACCTGAGATCTCACCCAGGTTCCTCAAATCCCCTCACTAAGCCTTCTGAAATCACCAGAACCATCTGCTTTGGGTTCAGAAATGAGATACTACAAAAGTTGACACACAAAGGTCATTATTTCTGGAGGACAAAGGGAGAAAACAAAGCTTTACCTAAAGGCTTTGGGAGTTGCTGCAGAAAGTGACTGCGTTCCCCTGGTTGGTGGAGGGCCTCTCCCGTCTTCTCGTCCGGGCTGCAGATGCAGCTGGCTTGGCCGCTTGGACGTGCAGGTTACGCAACGTGAGCACCCTAATACCGTCTTCCCCTCCCATGGCCGCCGCCTGGCTGCCTCACCACGGAGCTGGGATTCTTCAGGGCTCTGGGCTCATTAAGGCTCTGTCTTCATAGCCAAAGTAAAGTGAAGAATTGAGGTAATTACCTAAATGATTCAGTAAGAAGGAAAGACACCACCACGTGTGGAAAAAGATGGTTTGGGAGACTGGTCCAAGGGACTGGCAAATATTGCCACCTTCTCAGCTGGCAAGGGAGGTAATAATACATGTTTACTTGTTCACACCCCCAGCAGTAACATTTATACGGCGGGGGTTGGCGGGCAGTTCATGGCGGGAGAGGATGCCAAGTGTCCAGTCTCCCCACAAGACCAGTCCAGGACCTCCTCCTAGGCAAGAGAAGAGCACATCCCTCCCTCAATTCTGGAAGTGTCACATGGGAGAAACTCCAGGGTCCTCAGGCAGCAGTTAAATACTGTCATTTAGAGTTCTCTAATCTGGCTGAGCAGAAATTTCCAGATTTAAATTGTGCTCACCCAGGCATGATGAATGGTCTCAGTCAGTCTTGGGTTTGCTCCAGCTCCCTGTGCCGGCGGTCAAGTCCTTATGCGACTCCACAGTCTACACCCTCATAACCGCAGGACCAAGCGCAGCTGCCAGTGGGTGTCCGCAAACAGAAAGGCAAACTGTGGAGCTCCCGTTGGGGTCCCCCCCAATTAACAGGTAATAATAATGACACAGCCCAGCAGTACTTAACAATGGCAAAGAGGCTGCTTAGCGTCCTTGGAAAAACTCTGGCCTTGAAGTCACGGAGATTTGAGCTAGGATCTGACCCCACCACCCTCCAGGTGTGAAACCTGGGGCAAGTTACTCAAGTTCTGCACCTCAGATTCCCCTGGTGTCGTCAGGGGGTGAGAGTGAGAATTAACAGTGAATGTAGGTGGCTCACACCTCTAATCCCAGCACTTCAGGAGCCTGAGGTGGGTGGATCATTTGAGGCCAGGAGTCCAGCATGGCGAAACCTCGTCTCTACTAAAAATACAAAGGTTAGCCTGGCATGGTGGCACACATCTGTGGTCCTGGCTACTAAGGAGGCTGAGGCAGGAGTATTGCTTGAACCCAGGAGGTACAGGTTGCAGTGAGCCAAAATTGTGCTGTTGCAGTAAGCCAAAATTGTGCCGCTGCACTCCAGCCTGGGTGACAGAGCAAGACTCCATCTCAAAAAAAAAGAAAAAGAAAATTTTTTAAAAAGTGGATGTAATGTATGCCTCCTAGACAGTGTTGGGCTCACTGTCTCCAAAATAAAAGGCAGAAAAGTCAGAATTTACTGCCCAGTCCACAAATGGCGGCTAAGTGTACATGATATGCAAAGTGGCTTTTTTTTTTTTTTTTTTGAGACAGAGTCTCGCTTTGTCACCAGGCTGGAGTGCAGTGGCGTGATCTCAGCTCACTGCAAACTCAACCTCCTGGGTTCAAGTGATTCTTCTGCCTCAGCCTCCAGAATGGCTGGGAATACAGGCAAGTGCCACCAAGCCCAGCTAATTTTTGTATTTTTAGTACAGACAGGGTTTCACCATGTTGGCCACAATGGTCTCGATCTCCTGACCTTGTGATCCGCCCGCCTCAGCCTCCCAAAGCGCTGGGATCACAACTGTGAGCCACCACACCTGGCCCAAGGTGGCTTTTTTGACCCTTGAAATAACTCTTTTTTTTTTTTTTTTTTTTTGAGATGGAGTCTCACTCTATTACCTAGGCTGGAGTGCAGTGGCATGACCTTGACTCACTGAAACCTCCGCCTCCCGAGTTCAAGCGAATCTCCTGCCTCAGCCTCCCAAGTAGCTGGGATTACAGGTGCGCACCACCATGCCCAGCTAATTTTTTTTTTTTTTTTGGTAGAGATGAGGTTTCATCATGTTGGCCAGGCTGGTCTGGAACCCCTGACTTCAAGTGATCCCCCTGCCTTGGCCTCCCAAAGTGCTGGGATTACAGTTGAAACAACTCAGAAAGTTGCACTCTTAGAGAGGTATCGTTTTCCCAGGTGTCTTCGGCTTGTCCAGATCACCTTGCTAGTTAGTTGCAGAGCCGGTATGCGAAGGTGACTGTCTTGGCTTCTGGTCCAGTGCATTCTCAACTCTCCCGCACACTTTTCTGTAAGTGGAGGAGTGAGAGCTGGTCTACCAAGGTTCTGATGAAGGAAGATTTCGGTTTTGTCTCCCATGGGATGAACATGAGGACTGCTTGCTTGGAGGAGGGCCCCTCCACCTAAGTGTCATCTCTGCCGTCTCATAGGTGAATGGGGGAAGCTGCTGCTCTCCACCCTTGAAGAGCAGGTTCATGCAACATACATTCGTTTCTCCCAAAGTCCCCGACGAAGGCTGCAAGTGGGACAGGGTGGAGGAGGATGTTCCTGAGTAACCCAGTGGCTGGCTCAGGAAATGGGTTTTCACACCATGCTTTGTGGAATGGGTCTAGAGAGGTGCTTTGGAGACTGCAGTGCCCTGAGCCCCTTATTCAGCCAGAGCCATGCCAGCCCTTACCTATAGGGCTAATTGATGGGAGACCTGGTTTGTTTAATTGGGCTTCCATTTATGATTTAATTTGAAACAATGATTTGTTAGAAGAAGAAGAAGAAAGAAGAAGAAGAGAAGGAGGAAGAGGAGGAGGAGGAGGAGGAGGGGAAGGAGGAGGAGGGGGAGGAGAAGGAGAGAAGAACGGGATTCCTTTTCCTGGAGTTTCTGAGAACAGAACCAAGACTTAATCCTAGTGGCTGTCAGGGTTGGAGGTGGATAGCCCTGTTCTGGGTCACAGCAAACCCATCTCACACCTTCTGGTCCACTTAGACATACGTCGGGCACCTGCTGTGTGCAAAACCCCAGACCCGGTAGCAGGTGAGTTAAAGTAAATTAGAGGTGATGACCCTTGTCCTTTGTGACTTGGAAAGCAGAATAGACACCCCAAGGGCAGAGGGGGCCAATAAACAATTACTGGCGCAGCCAGTCTGGTCCTCAGGCTCTGTCACCTTGTGATGTTTGTTTTTCCCCTTTATGTATATGATCTATTCCTCCCAATTAGACTATAATTGTCCAAGTGGCAAGAAACACCTCTCACTCAGCAAACATTTATGCTAGTATGTATGCTAGTCATAGGAAAGGCTCACAATCTCGTGGGACAGAGAACAGTGATTTCAACACGGGGAGTGGGGACCAGGGAAGGTGCCACAAAGAAAGTTAAGCTTCATCTTGCAAGAATAGCAGACTCCCTATACCTTTTTCCATATCCTGGGGTCCAATGCAGCCAGGGATGCCAACAACAGGACCACCTGGACATGTAAGGTCAAAGGGCGCTGCACCTCCTGATGCTGGGCCCTGAGAACCTCCTGGAGGGAGGGCTTTGGAGCTGGGTCTGGAAGGAGGAGCCAGCACCGGCTCCCTGGAGAAGGGAGGGTGTCCAGGTTGGGATCATGGCCAGCAGCAAAGACAATTAAGTGAAGCCAGCAGGGCTCGGGGGGCAGAGGCTGGCAATAAAGGCCAGGTGAGGGAAAGCCAGTTAAGCTCGAGTAGAGCAAAAGGCAAAACGAAATAAAGGTATTGCGAAGCGGCTGGGAGAGAGAGGGAAAAGGCTGGCGGGTGGAGTGTTGGAATCTAACACAACTGGAGTGTTCCTGGACTCCAGCAGTAATAGACCCTCAAAAATGTGAGCATGGAGGAGCGCCCCATCTTCAATCTCAGCCTTGCCACCACTCTAGAAAGCAGGGACCCTGTGTTCTCCCCAAAGGACCTCTCGCTGGCATCGCCCTTCTCCCTCAACCCCAAGTCTGGGTCCTTCCAGGTCCTGCAAGGGGATCTGGAGGAGCAGGAGCCACCTGGGTTGGGGTGGGGCCTGGCCCGGGCCTGGCGTGGCTTGCAGGGTCTGGCAGCTGTGACCCACATCTGGGGTTTCAGGAATTCTGACCTGAACACGCACTCCCACACTCACCTTCATCACCAGGTGAACAGGCACAGAGGGGAAAGGAGGACACCCACCACGCGCCTCCCTCACTAAATTTTAAGAATTCCGCAGGGCCGTTCGGAGGGGGGAGCCGGGATTTGCCCTGGGATGGTAAGAGAGGTGGCTGGAGACGCGCTTCCTTCCGGTCCCCTCAGGGAAGCTCTTCCTCGCTTCCTTCACTTCAATAATGTTGAATGAACCCGCTGGGAGAAGGAAGGTAGAGAGCCGGCGCGGCGCGCGGGGAAGGGAGGGGAAGGCGAGGGGAATGAAAATCTGGGCTGGGAGAGAGGGCGGAGCCGCAGAGGAAGCGCACAGCGCGGGGGCCGAGGCCGAGGCGGCGGCCGAGAGGAACCGGCCGCGGGCCGCGAGGCGCGCGGCCGGCGGCGGGGAGGCGCCGGGAGGGCGCGGGGCGGGCGCTCGGCGAGGGGAGGGCGAGAGGAGAGGGAGGACCGCCGCCGCCAGCCGCCACGGCCGAGCAGCCGCCATCGCGCCGGAGCCTCGGAGTTGAGCCAGCGCTGCCGAACGCGCAGCCACCGCCGGGCGCCGTTCGGAGCGCGCAGCGCGCGCCGCCGGCCTCGCCCACCCGGCGCCGGAGCGGCGCGGCGGAGGAGGAGGGCGGGCGGGCGCGGCGGGCCCGCGCCGGCGGCGGCGGACTATAGGCGACCACCATGGGCCGATGAGACCGCTGGGCTGCAAATGCTGCTGCACACGGCAACGGAGCCTTCGCCGCCCTTCCCTTCGCTCATGGCCATCGCCATCCCGGCACCGACTACTCGGCTCTACTTCCAGCCGCGCCACATCTGCCAACGGCAACAACCTGGAACCCATTGGGACGACGGGGCCGACCGCCGCGCGCCGCCGGCGACCTCAACCCACAATCTGGGCTGTGGCGGTTGCCTGCATCGAAGGTACGCCGGCCCCGAACCCTTCCGCCCCACACACATACACACACATAGCGGCGCGCGCGCACACACACACACACACACACACACACGCCGCCACACACTGCCCGGGGTAGCGGGCCGGGGAGGGGGTGGGCGCGGCGCTGGCTCCGCGCGAGACACAAAGGAGCCGGAGCGGGCGGGCGGGTCCCCTCGCGGCCAGCTGTGCATCAGCTCGGGTCCCTCTCGGTTGGGGACCTCCCCAGCACACCGATCCCACAAACTCTCCACGCGCACACCCCCTTGCCCACAGACACAATGAAACACACCGAAACTCACGCGCGCGCGCGTAGCCCGGGACCCGAGCGATCCCCAGGGGCCGCGCCGGCACCCCCGGGGGAGGTGGAGGCTGGCGAGGGGGCGGGAGGAGGCTGGGGTTGGGGGGAGCGGATGGGGGGGAGGGGTTGCTTGGCAACCGGTGTCTGTGCCATTGCCATGGGAACTGGCCATCCTGGGGCGGGGCCGGCCGGGGGCGGGGCGCGTGGGGGCCGCTGGGCTCTCTTTACAGGCTCGGGCCGAGGGCTGGGGGCAGAAGTAGGGGCGGGGGCGCTGTCGGGGTCGGGGTAGGGGCTGGGTTCCGAGCAGATCTAGGGTAGCTGGGTAGCCCCAGCCCGACACCCGCCTCGTCTCCCACGGAGCCACCAGCCCGCTCCTCGCTGCGCGTTGGAGTGGTGAGGGGAGCGACACTGAGTCTCCCCCAACGGAGACAGCGACCTCGGTCGCGGCCCCTCAGCAGGGAGGCTGCGGAGACCTCAGTAGGAAACTGGGGTGTGCAGGGCCGATCTGCGGACCGGGAACAGACTGGGAGGGGCGTGGTCGTCTCGTCCGAGCTGGGCGCTGCGACCCCCAGATGCAACTGGAGGCTGAGTAGTAGGTGTCATGAGGTTGGAATGCCTCTAGGAGCCAGGATTTCGGCCCTGAGACCCTGGGGACAGCTCCCTACTGGGGAGGGGCCTGGATGCCTCCAACGCCAAAATGCGCTCGGCTTCCGCGCCTTCTGGGCGCCCTTCCTCTGCCCGGCTGCGGAACTTGAACTAACAGGTGGCTGGGGAGGGGCCGCCTGGTCCCGGCCAGGTTGGGCACAGGTTTGCAGCTTAAGCGCGGCGCTCAGATCTGGGACTGGGTGGAGAGAGTTGGTGGAGGCTTTCCTTTGATTTTTCAAAAACCCTTGGACAGAATTCCCTCTTTCTTTTTCCGTAACCTTTCCCCGCGTTAACTCCGCCCCTCAGTTCGGGAAGTTCTCCCACACACCTAGCCTTCCTTACTGCAGTTCAGCCCCTGCACAGAGTTCAGCTGCGGTTGTTTCTTGGTGGAGGTTGGCAAGGAGCTCTTAAAACCATAGCCCTTTTCTGGCCGCGTTTGAAGTCATCTGAAAAGAGGCTTTGTGAAGCTGGATCTGCTTGGTGAAGTCAACTTGGCCCCCTTTCCCCCTCCAGACCGTGCTTGTTCTCATCTCATCGGGGATCCTGCCCACCTCTGTCTCCCACCCCCACTCTGGAAAGAGGCTGCTTTGCCCTTTGCAATTTGGAGCCTAATGCCAGGGCTGAGTGGCGTCTGCAGGTAACAGAAGTGTTCAATCAGTAGTTCGAGAAGCACAGCCGCACAAAAGAGCCAGTGGGCTCACAATCACACCCTCCTCTTTTCTTTTGAAAAACATCATTTTTAGTGTGCAATTGCTCAGATCACGAACACCTACTCCTCTCCTCTGGAGAATGTACCCACGTCACTACCTGCTACAGCACCTGAGTTGGATACAGAGCAGGGGCTGCAGTGCCCCATATTCCACCTCACAAGCAAGTTCCATCGGGTGCCATCTACCTGGCACAGTAAGTCATAAGTCATGCCACTGGCACGACCCGAAGGTATGCGCGGACCCAGGGCCTTCCAGTTTCCCAGTGGAAATTCTGAAACTAAGTCCTCCATGCCAGCAAGCCTGGCTTCCTTTATTAATTCCTCATCCTAATTAGGATTAATGCTGCACTTAGCATCTTGCCAGCTGCCTCGAGCCGTTTGCACTTTGATGTTCATCAAGAGAGCCCCAAGTTGATCTGGGCAGCTGGCTCCACTAGCAGAGGGAGCCATCTGGGGGACCTCACCGAAAGAACTGGGCTGCCTGTGTTATTCCCCAATGCTCAGCAGTTCTGAGGGCCAGAACATGTTTGTGGGATCCAGGGTTGGGAGAGTGGGTTCAAGATTCCTTGACTAGAATCATTGTGACAGTCCCTCAACCTGGGTGGGAACTGCCAGCCTATCTCATAAAAAGCACATCCCTAGACCAGCAGCTCTCAACCACCTGACACCTCACCTCCTACGATGCCTCCACCTGCCAGCAAGTAGCCAGAGCTGAGGCCTGGACAGCACCTTAACCCTAGGCCACTTTCTGGGGACATGGAGGGAGGGTTACCTCCATGTTGGCTTTCACGTTTAAAATGCATTGTTTCCGCCTGTTCTCTAGAAAAGTATCCCAAAGCATTACCTCTAAAGCAAAATGAACAGAAGAAAGTGAAAAAATCAAACCTCTGGGCTGAAACTAAAGAAATACTGCAGCAGGCAGCTGATAAGACTCTGAGCGTAAAGGCAGAACTCTGAAGGGTTTGCTGGCAACTGGCAAACAACAGATTCAGTTTCATGTTCGTGTCTTATAAATGATGTTGCCGGGCCGGAAAGCCCAGCCCTTTGTGTACTTAAGGCATCCATGCATTCTGGCAAGGCTGCGTGCAAAAGACTGCTGCTCCCAGCTTCACCAGGGCTGACCTTGTCTTAGCCTCTTTCTACCCCTCAAATCAAAGTCTCTCCCTTCTACCCGCCCCTCCGCTGGGAAGTGTCAAAATACTCAAGTGTGCAGAGCCTTGTGCACGTTACCGCGTGGTCTGCCCATGACATCCCTGGGAGCGCGCTGTCTTCACCCCCATCTGCAGATGAGCAAGGGAGGTGCAGAGAGGTTCAGGGACTTGCCCAGAGGCGCCCAGGTAGGAGGCAGCCAGGCCAGATTGGAGCCTTTGTCTCACTACAAAGCTCTTCTCACCAGATCATCCTGCCTTTTCCCAAACAGCTTCTGGGTTGCCATTAAAAATAGAACCAAGTACTTGACTACCCAGTGGAGCCCAGCTCTGAGGTTGGGCTGGCGGCAGCATGAAGGCATTAGAAGTGAGGATGCACAATGGATACATAAATTGCATAACACACCTTTTCCCTTATTTTCTCTTCCCTTCCCTTCTTTTCCCTTCTCCCTTTTTCTCCTCCTCTCCTCTCTTCTCCCCTTCTCCCCTCCCCTCCTCCTTTCCCTCCTCTCCCTCTTCTCCTCCCCTCACCTTCCCTCCTCCTCCTCTTCCTCTCCTCCCCTCCCCTTCCCTCCTCCTCCCTTCCCTTCTTCTCTCCTTTTCTCTCCTCCCTTTTCCTCTTTCTCTTTCAGTCTTTGTCTATGTCTCTCTCCCGATCTGTTTCTCAGTCTCTTTGTGTCACTGTCTCTATCTCTTTCTCTTTTTTCTCTCCTTCCACTGTGTGCTAGACTAGTTGCCAGTCAGTCATCTCCCTGCCTTCTGAGACACTCATCTCATTCTTTATATCTTTGGTGACACCCAGCCAAGTCTGAGGACATAGGAAAAGGGTAGTAAACCTTTTTTCAAGGTTTATCTAAGGCATCACCAGCCAACATTTATTCAATCTCATGCATTTTGGAATTCAGTGGGTATAGAATGTAAGCAAACGTCACAGAGCATGTACTTGTGCCAGGGGCAAAAGAGCCCATGTAGATATGGAAGGGAAGAGGAGACTGGACCCAGAGGGCAGCAGCTTGTGCCACATGCCAAGGCCCTGCCACCCACACCAACTCTAGAGAACTCACTAGAGCCACCCAGTCCCCGTGCTGCCATCAGGAAAGCTCTGCACCCAAAGAGAAGGGTATTGGTGCCTCAGCCATGCCCCTCCCCCAACCCGATGGAGGAAGCTGCCTCCAGCATGCCCACAGCTCTGCCAGGGCCTTAATATAGCAGCCTTGATGCTAGGATTGGCCCCTGTGCCTGTTTTGTGCCAGCTCTGTGCTGGGCACTCGTGGGGGAAGTTATGGAGAAGGTTCTGGAACCTGAGAGTGA